CTAGGGTTTGATGTAATCAACTTGAAACATGTTTGATTCCTACATATTTAGCTCTTTTGGATTTTTCTATTAATTTATTTATGTTGTTTGTGTTTAATGCGTTCAATTAATTGGCCACTGGTTGAATGATTTGTTGCATAAATTTCGGCACTCGAGAGAGAGAAATTTAGGCATGATCAAGGAACAACATAACCTAGGTTTCGTGGATTTCGAGAGAAAGTGTGAATCTTTGAGGCTTCTTTGAATCAAGAATCACGTGCATTGAAACCTCTATACATTTAATTCGGAATAGAGATATTGAAATTAAATTGTAGAGATTAGTTTTATTAGGCACTCAAGAGAGGGAATAGAATTATATTTAGGTTCTCACCTATAATTTAAGAAAAATCTGATTGAGTTAAAATTATATATGAAGAAAAGCATTGTTGACAGTATGATAAAATCATTCCCTAAGCTTTTATAATCTGATAACGTCTTCAAAATTTGCTTATGTGACTTGGCAATTTTAGTTATATACATTAGATCACAATCACAACATTGATTCAATTTTGAACATCTGGATAAAGTAGAAACTAAACAATTATAATACTCGGTAGAACTCAAGTATCAATCCCCGTGGGTTCGACATTTCACTATATTACAAAACTTGACACCGTACATTTGCATAAAAATCACGTTATAGAAAACGCATGACAAGCTTACACATCTAAATGAAACATGTTTAGTACCTTTGACTTGACAAAAATGAAAAAAAAAACACGTAATTTCATATATGGCAGTGATGTTTAAAAGTTTGGCAACAAAATGAATTTACAAGTAACAAATCCTACTTGAGCACCAAAATGGAGATTCTTTTGTACCATTTTCTTAGAGGAGGAGTAGTTGCTAAACCTCTAAGAGCACAAAACGAGAAACACGAGCTGTTATACGACAACCACCACGTATCAACGAAAGAGAAGCGGGCATCACACAATATAATTGTGAAAAATAAAAGTTATAATATTGTTAATTGCACTATTGAATTATATTGTACCAAACATGCACTTAATATCCCGCATACAAGAAAGTTCATAATGTTAAGGAAAATCCCCGAAAGAAAAGAACTAACCTCTGATATCATACTCAATTTATGATGACTGAGTAGACAAAAAATAAAAAGTAGAGAAATCAAAAGAGGACTGAATATACATCAAAACATACAATATAACTCAAAACTACAAGTCATCTACCTTCCTCCATGGATGAATAGGAGATCGAATTTCTAGAGTAATCCTCGACAAAACTACTACCTATGGAGACCTTAGTACCGCCAGTTTGAGTGGTGCTACCATTCGTATTGTTAGTGAAAGGGGAAGACGATGTAGTAGTGAACCGGCCTACACGGCCATGGATCCCGGGCTTCCCAGGTCTAGGTAAAGTGAATGAATCGCTTGATAGCATGAGATTAACAGAGTTCATATCAGGTCTCTCTGCAATACTAGCTTGACAGCATAACAATCCTAATTGAATGCACATCGCAACTTCTTCGGGATTGTATTTAGCAAGACTTCCTTTAACTAGTTCCTCTGACTTCCCTGCCTCAAAAAGTGTCCATGTCTGTAAAGATGAACAGAGTCATTGAACACGTACATATTGCTGAAGTACCTCACCTATAAGGTTTTGTTGTTACTGGGGATACATTTCAATTTTAAATTTAATCTTCATCATGCCTTCCACATGCAAGGCCATCTCATTTTTTTCCATCAAACACCAAACTCGTAGCCAATTTTCAACTACATAGGGGGATGGCTGCATGCCTCCTCTTTCTTATCATGCGTAAAAAGAACTAGCATACAAAGAAAAAAAGGTCATAATTGGAAAGGAAATTCATACTTTCTTAGCCACTTACATAGTTTAAGAGGTCAGCCTTCGCAGCATCAAGGAACCCGTCATGATTCTTTCTCCCACTGACAATTTCCAAGACTAAAATGCCGAAACTAAAAACATCTGTCTTCACAGACAAATATCCACGAATTGCATACTCAGGAGCCATATAACCACTGCGATAAGCAAAGACAATAAACACCCTGAAGACTTGAGAAAATGAAATGGAAAGAGATGAAGAGAGAACAACTCACTGAGTGCCGGAAATCTTAAACGTGTTTAAATGTGTGTCGTCCCCAGGAAACAACCTTGCCAGACCAAAATCTGATATTTTTGGATTCAAATGCTCATCGAGCAATATATTACTGGCTTTAATGTCTCTATGGATTATCCTTTCAGGCGCTTCTTCATGCAGATAGAGAAGGCCTCTTGCAATACCACTAACTATTTGGTATCGTTTCTTCCAATCCAGAAGCTGAGACTTCTCCTTTTCTGAAAAGTTACACCATGCCAACAAGGATATCTTATTCAAAATGTTGCATAAATAAATAGTCTCAAGTCATTTTGGCAGATGAAAAAATTTACCAAAAAGGAAATAGTCAAGGCTCTTGTTAGGCAAATACTCGTACACAAGCATCTTTTCAGGTCCTTCGATGCAACATCCTAGCAATGTGACTAAGTTCCTGTGTTGAATTCTCAATAATAGTTTTACCTCATTTGTGAATTCTTTTAGCCCTTGTCTAGAATTCAAGGACAGCTTCTTCACGGCTACTTCTTGACCATTTGGCATCAGTCCCTAGGAAGAGGAATATGATAAATGAATTCATTAAAAACAGGTCACGTGGTAATACTTCAGTACTTATCATGATAAACACAGGTTGATTAATTCAGTGAAACTAAGATGCCTGCTTGATGATGTACAAAAATTGATTAACAGTTAAATAAACCTATAAGACAACTAAAATATCTTAACATTCATAGAACTTGTAAAGCAAGTATTTTCTTTTATCTATATATGTTGTCCTAGCAATGAAAAGAATCGGATTCAATCGTGAAACTAACGTTCTAGTCTGCATTAATTCCTAGAAATGCTCACATCAAAATGAAATGGAATTCACTTCGCTCTTAGGGCAGACTATATTATTGATCCCTCAGCTCACACATATTTAAGTTGCAACTTCAGAAAACCCTCCTAATACCCACATGATTAAGGATTGCTGTGCAGCTAAATATCTTTGTGGTGCTAGTGGACTAAAATCAAGTAAAATGAGCAACAAAAAGGACATATAGCCATGGAGGTCAAGTTTAGGGTGTGGACAGAAGCCAATTTCAGAAACTTTTATATTACCAGAGATTGTTAACAATTCAAGAATCCAAACACAGGAATGCTCATAAGATCTAACGAAAAAGACCTTCCATATAAAATATCATTTATATATTATTTCTAGAAGAAGGTCAACAACTTCCATTTCATTTACTAGTAGACTGAAGATCCAAGTCCATGGTAACTCACGAGTGCCTTAAGAATGTGATCAAGGTATTTAACTCTGCTGAGTGATGGTGTGTTTTCCTAGATGGTGTGCTTACAGCATAAGTACCATCTGTCTTATTTTTAATTTTTAGTGAGACAACATTGCTATGATTTATTCTGCTATGTGTGTGCAAGTGTTGGAAGGCTATTAAGATTCAAATAAAAAGACATTAAATTTCTCCATCATGAAGCGAGCCTGAAGCAGGAACAATTTTACAACAAATAATTGAAAAAGGAACAAGAAAGAGAAAGGGGATCAAAGAAGAGAATACATTAGGGCAAGAGAAATCAATTTATTTATATATTCAAGGGCATCTATTACAATAAATGAGCCACGTATATAGAGCAACTAAGCTAAAATCAAAAGAACTTCTAATAAACTAGAATTTATCAAAATATTAAAACTAATCTAAATAAATATATTTTAAATCAATCTCTACTTTAAAATCCTACCTAAATTCTATCTTTGTTTCCATCAGAAGCCCTAGTTTGTTTTAGTTAACATTTATTCGAGGGTCGTATATCCTACTCCTAGGTCCTTCATAACAACGTTAGCTGACTAGCCCATTTTAGTTCCAATCACAAAAATTGTGCTGCGTGTCATCCCAATTATAAGCGCACAATAATTATAATTGCCATAATTTACTGCACCCAATTATCACATCATTTCATGAAAAAAGCTCCTGAACCTGTTTCAGTCCATGCGTCACAAATTTAAAAACTTTATTCTCTTGTCCATGTAAAGAAAGCATTTGGATTTTCCATGCAAATTTCTTCTCATCAATCCAAAGGGGAAAGCTGGTTTCTTCTCCAATTAACAGAACCACCAAATAATAAGCAATTACGCCCTAATTATAGATATTCCAGGCATTAGTAAATACCAAAGAGATCAATCCCTTCCTTTTTGAGCACTATCATCAGCAAGAAATCTAGTTTTCTACTTGCCGATTGGTCATCAACTTTTGAACAGCCATATGCATTCTTTACACCCTCTAGGAAAATCTACGCATTACTAGAATTGCATCTTTCGGAGTGTCAAGTCATTTCATTTCCTCTAGATGTCTACTGTAAAATCGTTCACTGTTCACAACTAAAACTTGCTTTAATCCTATGCATACTAATTCATATTTTATGGGCAAGAGGTCCTTTAATTTACAACTAAATCATTAATTTCGAAATTAAAATTGATCATTTGGCTAGATTAGTGGCGTGAGGAAATTTGAAATGCCAACATCTAATAAGACTCATTGACAGTATGCATTCCTCTAGATTGCAGATATCTGTTCGTGGCTCGTAAACTCATAATATTAGTAGGTCAATGATATTATAGCATCAATATAAGTTACATTGGAGTGCATCATATTTCTTTAGAGGAGTGAATGCATGATTAATAAAAAATTCTTTAACTGGAATGGATATTATGTATCGGATTTGATTTAATTAAAATTGTTACACCTTTAAATTACGTGGCATGTTCAGACAAAGGGAGTCTCATATATGCGGACATGGCATTGACTATTCAATTGGATTGGACTTACTAAATTAAGCAACCTCGTGCAACCTAACATTGGGTTTGGAACTTGGGCCCAAATCACATGACCCGCTCGGCCAATTAGCATCACTTGGCCCATTCACTTCTCTCTGAATATGTGATATCACTTCACAATCAAGGTTCCTAACCATATCCAAATCCCCTCTCCCGTCTCATGCACCCATATTTCTCTCATCCGACAGTAGACTTGACCGTCGAAGTGCAAATGGTCGCTGGACTTTTTTCTCGACCATTGCCTTCTGACGGGGTAATCAATATGCAGATGATATCCACGTGGAGGGGACATGGTTGGGGGATTCTATGTTGGTACATTTTCTGAGGTCAACAAAAATCATAATTATTCAAACCGTGAATAAGATATTCTTAGCTAGTTGAACCAATTACCTGTGGTGTTAATAGCTTTCCTTATTTTGAAGTTTTTTTTTTTTTTGAGGGAAACATGCCAAGATCACATTAATCAAACATATGGGAAACATCATAGTTCACCAGATTCACAATGGGTTCTGGAACCTCTTCACAACACATAAAATCATTCCTAGATTTTTTCGCCAAAAGCGCTAATTCATGAGCCACCTGATTGGTC